TCAGAGGGAAGAATTCCTTCCTGAATCTCACCTAAATCTCCCCTCTTTGATACCCCATCCCTGGGAACCTTCAAGGTCAGGTTGGACGGGGCTTTGAGTGACCTGGGCTGGGTGGAGATGGCCCTGCTCATGGAATTATGGAAGAGTTTGGGTGGGAAGGGACCTTAAAGACCATCTAATTCCACCTCCCACCAGAGCAAGTTGCTCCAAGCCCCCTCCAACCTTGGCCTTGAACCCCTCCAGGGATGGGGCAGCCACAGCTTCTCTGGGCAGCCTGGGCCAGGCTCTCACCACCCTCACACCAAAGAAGTTCCTCATAAATTTCACTTAAATCTCCCCTTTTTCAGTATCAAACCCTTCCTCCTCGTCCCATCTCTATGCAACCTTGTACACCCCAGTGACTCCTCTCAGCAGAGGACCTGAGGTGGGACCCTGATTAATAAACCAGCTTCTCATGATGCTCCAAAGCACTTGGGTTGACCTTAACAAATAATAAAGACCCTTTATGCATTCTGAGAGCCACATCCCAATAATTCAGCACTTCTTACCCTTAGAGGATGGATTCTATGAGGTATAAAGGCTCCTGGAAAAATCCTCCTCTTGGGAAAACAGCAATAAATCGGGGGAAAAGCAAAAAAAAAAGAGAAGGATGGGGTCAAGAGTTGGACCAAAGTCTTGAGCTCCTTAAAAATAAAATATATAATGTTTTTTGCTTTGCTAGAACTGGGTAAAGGTGGAAGGTAATCCCTCTGCTGGAAAATCCTGGGAGGTTTTCCCTGGAGACTCCTGATACCAGCGGAACTATTTGCTTTGATTTTACTTTTTTAGAAGGATAAAGGTAAATTAAAGAGCTTCTGAGCAAGAAGATTGGGGCAGAATCTGTCCCTAGCCTGGTCCTAATTAAACACTCGGTGATTAGCAAATCTCAGACTCCAACTGGCTCCTCTCAGAAACAGGAATCTCTTGGGGTCCCTGCTTAAAATTATCAAGTGCTTGGATTTCCTTAATTTGGTTCAGAGTCTGACCCACACAGCCCAGCTCGGATCCTTATTTGTCTTATTTGTGAAGACCTGGGGCTTTTAATTTACTTAATGAGCTCGTGGGCTGGGATGAGCTGGTTGCTTTGTGCCCTGAATTCACATTGGGCGATTAAAAAAGGAAAAAGAAGAAAAAAAAAAAGAGTAAGAAACTGTTTTATTGGTTGTTTGACTGAGAAAAGGCTTCTTGGGAGGGTTGCTCTGGGTTTATATTTCAATTAATTAGACGGATAATGTTGTTGTTCTCCTTGGTGGGGCTCTGAGCTGGGGGTCAGGCAGGTAAAGTGAAAATAGGATATTATTTATAAATATAGAAGGTTCAGCCCCAAGGAGCTGGGAGGAGCCGAGGAAATGTTTCTCCCCTCCCTGACAGGATTCTCCTTAATTTCAGAGTCTTCGTTTCCGAGCTGGGGATGGTAGAAAATCCCCCTCCCCAGCAGCAGGAGAGACATTGAGGACCCTTCCCTATGTGGCTTGGATTCGGGAATGTCACTTTGGCAGCTCCTGCCCTCAGAAAATTACACTTTATAAGGTAAGAACCAGCAATTTTTCTTATAAAGGCTGTTTTTTTATATATATATATTTATATCGGACTCCTGAAGGAGAAGGGGAGGGCAGGGTTGGGTGGGAGGAATCCTACAGCCCAAACCCTTATATCTTCCTTTTCTGTAGAACGAATGAAACTTTAACTATTTCAGTGTGCAGCAGGGAAAGGAAAGGAGGGTATTTTGCCAGGGATATTTTTCCAGCTCTGCCAGTTCCTCAAACTGTAAATTCTTGTGGGCGAGCGTTAACCTTTGTTTTCCGGAGACCTGAGTCACTCGGTTGGGTTCATAATAGCCCTGTAAGTGTTTACTTAAGGCTTCCCTATTCACCTTAAACAAATACAGGATAAGCTTATAATAAAACACTCAGTAATTTATTACAGGGGTAAAAGATAACTTAGTATTCAAGAATTCAAAGCGCTGTATTCACAAATATACATTGCTCCAGAGACAAAAAACTCTCTTTAGCCCCGAACTGTACAAATATTGAGAACAGAACCTTAGAATTTCTTTTATGGCTCAATGTTTTGCTCCTGGTTTCTCAACGGTCTTTTTGATGAGACAAAAGGAATTTGTGAAGTGGGTTGTTTTACCTCCTGAGCTGCTTGGGGAGAGAGGAATGTTTTCTTTTAGCGCTCGGTTCTCCTAGTGTCCTTTTTGGAAGGTGGGAACAGCTGAAATCTGCCCCAAAGCAGGAGTTTTGATGTTGTGAGCTGAATTTCATGCCCTACACCCAACCTGGCACCAAGGAAATGGGTGAACGCTGCCCGTCCTCCACCACGGAGCAGGCAAGCGTCAGGAGATGGCACTGCAGGACAGAGGCACAGAATTACAGAATGCTATGGGTTGGAAGGGACCTTCTGGAGATCATCTCCTCCAACCCCCATCCAGAGCAGGTCCCACAGGGTCCCATCCAGGGGGAGTTTGAATGTCTCCAGAGATGGAGACTCCCCCACCTCTCTGGGCAGCCTCTTCCAGGGCTCTGCCACCCTCAAAGTCAAGAAGTTCCTCCTCACGTTGAGATGGAACTTCTCATGTCCCAGTTTGTGCCCGTTCCCTCTTGTCCTGTCACTGGGCACCACTGGAAAAAGCCTGGCCTCATCCTCCTGACACCCACCCTTAAAGGAGTTGATCAGATCCCCCCTCAGTCTTCTCTTCTCCAGACTCCAAAGCCCCAAGTCCCTCAGCCTTTCCTCAGCAGAGAGATGCTCCAGCCCCTCAACATCTTCGTAGCCCTTTGCTGGACCCTCCTTGTCCTTCTGGAACTGGGGAGCCCAGAACTGGTCCCAGTGCTCCAGATGGGACCTCCCCAGGGCAGAATAGACCTCCCTTTCCTGGGTTTAAAAACCCAGTGGAAGGAAAAACCCACTGCAGGGAGGCAGAAAGGGGTCACCCACGTGAAGGCGAGATGGAGACCCATCAAGTCGGAGAAATCTGGTTTTAGACCCCAGAAAACCACCTCCTTTGCCTTCATGGTGGCAGCAGCAGCTTTGTGTGGAAGAATTGCAGAAGTTCAACGTGTTTTGAGGGAAACAGAACCCGTGTTCTGGAGAAATGGGTCCAACTTGGTGTCTTTCCCCATTCCAGAATGACTCTGTGCTGGTGAGTGAGTGGATGTTCCCACTGAAGGACCCAGAGCACCCAAGCTTCGCCCACGTACCCTGGTCTATGACATTCAAAAACTGAGTTACACCCAAAACCCTCATGAAATAAAATGATAAAAATCAGTGCTTGTTGCAGCTGCTGGAAAAATGACTGAGAAAAGGCTTCTTGGGAGGGTTGCTCTGGGTTTATATTTCAATTAATTAGACGGATAATGTTGTTGTTCTCCTTGGTGGGGCTCTGAGCTGGGGGTCAGGCAGGTAAAGTGAAAATAGGATATTATTTATAAATATAGAAGGTTCAGCCCCAAGGAGCTGGGAGGAGCCGAGGAAATGTTTCTCCCCTCCCTGACAGGATTCTCCTTAATTTCAGAGTCTTCGTTTCCGAGCTGGGGATGGTAGAAAATCCCCCTCCCCAGCAGCAGGAGAGACATTGAGGACCCTTCCCTATGTGGCTTGGATTCGGGAATGTCACTTTGGCAGCTCCTGCCCTCAGAAAATTACACTTTATAAGGTAAGAACCAGCAATTTTTCTTATAAAGGCTGTTTTTTTATATATATATATTTATATCGGACTCCTGAAGGAGAAGGGGAGGGCAGGGTTGGGTGGGAGGAATCCTACAGCCCAAACCCCTATATCTTCCTTTTCTGTAGAACAAATGAAACTTTAACTATTTCAGTGTGCAGCAGGGAAAGGAAAGGAGGGTATTTTGCCAGGGATATTTTTCCAGCTCTGCCAGTTCCTCAAACTGTAAATTCTTGTGGGCGAGCGTTAACCTTTGTTTTCCGGAGACCTGAGTCACTCGGTTGGGTTCATAATAGCCCTGTAAGTGTTTACTTAAGGCTTCCCTATTCACCTTAAACAAATACAGGATAAGCTTATAATAAAACACTCAGTAATTTATTACAGGGGTAAAAGATAACTTAGTATTCAAGAATTCAAAGCGCTGTATTCACAAATATACATTGCTCCAGAGACAAAAAACTCTCTTTAGCCCCAAACTGTACAAATATTGAGAACAGAACCTTAGAATTTCTTTTATGGCTCAATGTTTTGCTCCTGGTTTCTCAACGGTCTTTTTGATGAGACAAAAGGAATTTGTGAAGTGGGTTGTTTTACCTCCTGAGCTGCTTGGGGAGAGAGGAATGTTTTCTTTTAGCGCTCGGTTCTCCTAGTGTCCTTTTTGGAAGGTGGGAACAGCTGAAATCTGCCCCAAAGCAGGAGTTTTGATGTTGTGAGCTGAATTTCATGCCCTACACCCAACCTGGCACCAAGGAAATGGGTGAACGCTGCCCGTCCTCCACCACGGAGCAGGCAAGCGTCAGGAGATGGCACTGCAGGACAGAGGCACAGAATTACAGAATGCTATGGGTTGGAAGGGACCTTCTGGAGATCATCTCCTCCAACCCCCATCCAGAGCAGGTCCCACAGGGTCCCATCCAGGGGGAGTTTGAATGTCTCCAGAGATGGAGACTCCCCCACCTCTCTGGGCAGCCTCTTCCAGGGCTCTGCCACCCTCAAAGTCAAGAAGTTCCTCCTCACGTTGAGATGGAACTTCTCATGTCCCAGTTTGTGCCCGTTCCCTCTTGTCCTGTCACTGGGCACCACTGGAAAAAGCCTGGCCTCATCCTCCTGACACCCACCCTTAAAGGAGTTGATCAGATCCCCCCTCAGTCTTCTCTTCTCCAGACTCCAAAGCCCCAAGTCCCTCAGCCTTTCCTCAGCAGAGAGATGCTCCAGCCCCTCAACATCTTCGTAGCCCTTTGCTGGACCCTCCTTGTCCTTCTGGAACTGGGGAGCCCAGAACTGGTCCCAGTGCTCCAGATGGGACCTCCCCAGGGCAGAATAGACCTCCCTTTCCTGGGTTTAAAAACCCAGTGGAAGGAAAAACCCACTGCAGGGAGGCAGAAAGGGGTCACCCACGTGAAGGCGAGATGGAGACCCATCAAGTCGGAGAAATCTGGTTTTAGACCCCAGAAAACCACCTCCTTTGCCTTCATGGTGGCAGCAGCAGCTTTGTGTGGAAGAATTGCAGAAGTTCAACGTGTTTTGAGGGAAACAGAACCCGTGTTCTGGAGAAATGGGTCCAACTTGGTGTCTTTCCCCATTCCAGAATGACTCTGTGCTGGTGAGTGAGTGGATGTTCCCACTGAAGGACCCAGAGCACCCAAGCTTCGCCCACGTACCCTGGTCTATGACATTCAAAAACTGAGTTACACCCAAAACCCTCATGAAATAAAATGATAAAAATCAGTGCTTGTTGCAGCTGCTGGAAAAATGACCATTTGGGGACGTTTTGTGCCCGATATTGGAGTCGCCTCCTTCCTGGCTACATCTCTCCATCTGTGTTTCCTCTACTTCTCACGTTGTCCTTCACGCTGAGCGGGGCACATTCCAGAGAGAGAGAGACCACCATTGAGTTTTGCTCCTTATCCCTCATCTGGAGTTTTGAAGGAATAAAAAGCAAATCCAGGTTGAGCCTGAAGCCTGCCAGGTGATTCACAGCAGCCTGTTCTCCAGCCTGTGTGGAAAATCCCAAATAGGATGGTATTTTCACCCCGTGGTTGTTCTTTGTTGGGATTTCAGTCCTCTCTCCCTTTCTGGCTCTGATTTTTTTTATTCTTCAGGGTTTTTCCTAGAGGTACGTCCCTGGGTTTTCCTCCTCTGCTTTCTCCGTTGACCCCGCGCTCTCCGGGGGAGGCTCAGGGGTGGTGGAGGCTTCTTCAACCTTAAACTTTGAGATGATCCTGGCGGTTTCTTGCGTCATCTCAAAACGTTTGAGCTGCTGCCTCCCCGCCGGGCGCTGCCTGATGGCCTCACTGGAGCCATCCCTGCTCCAGCCGCTCTCCTCCATCACCTCCTTGGTGGTGGAGCCGCCGTCGGTGGGGTTACCTTCTACCCCAGCCTCCGTGGCCACGTTGGCTAACACAGTGGTGGCCCTCAAGGGCAAGCTGGAAGATTTGGGAATGACTGGCTTGGTTTTCGCCTGGGCTCGGATGTATTTTGCGGGCTGGCGGCTGAAATGGCAACGGGGCTGGGCCCCCGGGGCCACCTCCGAGTCGCTGTCTGTCTTCTCCTGCACGGGGTCCTCCAGCTCCTCCAGCTCTGGACAAAAAAAAAATATAATTATCTAATTTATTTATTTATCTTAGAACAGCGAGACAAAGTTATTACCACAAACCATTTTGAACTTCTTTTCTGGTTAGAAAGGATGCTGAAACCTCCAGCATTTAACAACCGCCTCCCTCTGAGGTGGAATTAACCTCATTAATTCATCAAGATCCACCCTCAAAAGAGGCAGAAGATGTGAATTGGGCTTCTATTCTTAAAGCCCTCCTGGGGACGTTAAAGTTGGGTGAGTGGGGTTGGGAGCTGAGGGAGTAGCGGGGGAAAAACCTTCCTGAGAAGAGCAGGAAAAGGGTTTTGGTGCCGGTTGCGTGATGCAAAGTGGGGTGGGAGGTGTGAAACTCTCAAAGAGGACACCCCCCAACCTCTAACCCCATCCTGCTTTATTTACCTGGGGCCTCCACGCTGGATGGGGATCCCTCCGGATCCGGCTCGCTGATGGCTTCCCTGGAAGAGGAGTTCTCCGAGGCAGAGTCCACGTTTAAACCCTGCTTGTGGGGGGAAAAAGAAAAACCCACGGGTGTTTATACAAGACTCTTCGTCTGTCAGCTCCCACTTCACCCCAAATCCTGTTAGAGGGGGCGACCACTTGAGCTGAAAATGCCTTTGCTTCTCTTAGACTGCCTGTAACTCCAGGGGGGATGGGGAGGGAGCTTGTGGAAGGTGACACAAGAGAAAAATCATCAGTCAAGACCTGCCAGCTCCAACATCTGTGCCATAAATGCCCCAAAACACCCCAGAAAGCAGCTGTGGGCTGAGACCGATTCCCCACATCCCACGGGACACTCAAGTAGCCCGTTTGGGAGCAAAAAAGGGGAAAGTTTAATTATCCACAGTAATTATCGTCAAACTCAAAGGGGGAGGATGAGGGAAGGACCCGGGGGTCACAGCTGGGATGGATCTGGTGTGAAATTGCACAAGGATCAGGTCACTTTGCCATTATTTATGGCAAAACAAGAGTGCCCTTAGGAGCAACCCCCCTTTTTGTGGGTTTGCGACACCTTCTGTGCAGAAACAGGTTAAAAAAAGGCTTTGAAAACACTCAAAGGCAATAGTTGTGACACCTTCTGTGCAGAAACAGGTGAAAAAAAAAGGCTTTGAAAACACTCAAAGGCAATAGTTGTGTGTGTCTGAAAGTGCTTTCTGCAAGGGATTCTTGCTCCTGGAGGTTTTTTGCCCCTTAGGAGTGAATTGTGGCTACTCTGCTGATTTTATTTCCATTGAGGGATTCTTGATCCTGGAGGTTTTTTGCCCCCGAGGAGTGAATTTGTGGCTACTCTGCTGATTTTATTTCCATTTTAGTCGCAGTTATTCTGATTCCTGCTCCCTCGGGGAGCTGGACGCACGGAGGAAGCGGCGTCACCGGGTGTCAGGTGTGGACGTGGTCCCACAGCAGACCCACAGTGGTGCCACAAGCACCCGTGACTCAAAAGGAGGAGGCAGAGAATCCCTGGACTCAGATCTCACTCCCTTTGGCTTAACCTGAGGAAAGGAATTCCCTCTTCCTCATCAAACCACTGTGAAAAAGGGGGGGAAAAACTCCCTCCGTGGGTCCAGCTGAGGGATGCTCTGCCCATTTGTGGGTAGAAGTTTTCAGGAGGGCTGGGATCTAAAACCTGGAGCAAAACCTCCATCCAGAGGGCTCCAAGAAGCTGCTGAATGATCCACAGCTTAGAATTTTATCTATTTTTCTGGTTCTCCCCTTCCACGTGCAGCAGGCTCCCTGCCCCTTCCTCTGGGAATAACCCTCTCGGCAGGAAACTTTCATTATTCGTGGAAAAAGAGGTGTTTTTTTTTTTTCTTTAATTGCCATCCTACCGTAGGCAGGAAATTTTCATTATTCGTGGAAAAAGAGGTTTTTTTTTTCTTTAATTGCCATCCTACCGTCCTGTCCCCACACCAGGGTGAGTGAAACCCAGGAGCTCTACCTCTAACGTTAAACTCTGGCTTGTGTTTGGGCTTTGAGGTCCTTCATCCTTTTCTGGTGTCGTTTCTTGCGAGGGGTTTTCGCAGCCGAGGGATAAGGAGGGAGGAAGGTCGTCCATCCCAAAGACCCGCTCGTAGTTCTGGATGAGGAATTCCACGATCTGGGCTTGATACCCGGAGTCGACGAGGCAGGACATGGAGACGTCGCTCCCCGAGCCCGGCCGGATGAGGGTTGGCCCAAACACTATGCCCAGGTTGTTTGGGGACATCTTGTTCTCTTCGTACTTCTCTGCCACCCTGGGGGAGGGAAATGGGACCGTTAGAGGCTTCCCAGCTCTCCCCAAACCCCAATTTCTCCCCATCCTGTTGACAACAGGATGCCCATGAGCCACCAACGGGCCCTGGTGGCCAAGAAGGCCAATGGCATCCTGGGGGGCATCAGGAAGAGAGTGGAGAACCTGGAGGGAGGTTATCCTCCCCCCTCTGCTCTGTTCTGTGCTGGGAGGCCCCATCTGGAGCACTGGGACCAGTTCTGGGCTCCCCAGTTCCAGAAGGACAGGGAACTGCTGGAGAGGGTCCAGCAAAGGGCTATGAAGATGAGGAGGGGCTGGAGCATCTCTGTGATAAGGAAGGGCTGAGGGACTTGGGGCTTTGGAGTCTGGAGAAGAGAAGGCTGAGGGGGGATCTCATGGCTGGTGGGCGTCAGGAGGATGGAGCCAGGCTTTTTCCAGTGGTGCCCAGTGACAGGACAAGAGGGAACGGGCACAAACTGGGACGTAAGAAGTTCCATCTCAACATGAGGAGGAACTTCTTGACTTTGAGGGTGGCAGAGCCCTGGGAGAGGCTGCCCAGAGAGGTGGTGGGGTCTCCATCTCTGGAGACATTCAAATCCCGCGTTGGATGGGACCCCATGGGATCTGCTCGGGGTCACACAATCAATGAAGGGATGAGGGGGAAGGGTTTTAAGCTGAAAAAGGGGAGAATGAGATGAGATCTGGGGAAGAACTTCATTGCTGTGAGGGTGGTGAGACCCTGGCCCAGGTTGCCCAGAGAAGATATGGCTGCTCTATCCCTGGAGGAGCTCAAGGCCAGGTCGGATGGAGCTTGGAGCAACCTGCTCTGGTGGGAGGTGTCCCTGCCCAGGGCAGGAGGTGGAGTAAATGGCTTTTAAAGGTTCCTTCAACCCAAACCAGTCTATGACTCGATGGTGTCCCGTGGTTGGACCTGTCCCTAACCATCAGGACAACCATCGCGCTCCTCACCGGTAGAGGTGTGCGATGAGGTGCCGCAGAGTGTTGTAGTTGCTTCCAGGCAGTTTGCTCAACAAGTCCTTCATGCTCTGGATGGGATCCGAAGGGAAGCCCCCACAATCCACCTTCTCCTCCCCGGGTTTTTGCAGATCTTTGGCGAGCGCAATGAGGTCGTTGTAGAGGTGGGACAGCAGCACCGGCGCCGAAAGCTGCAACGAGAGGGGAGGAAGACACCCCATGTTACTTCATCCTGCTGATCCGACCCCGAGGAACGTGCTCAGCTGAGGTTTGGTACCCACTTCCTTCAGGAAATGCTTCAGGACACCAGTGATGTCGTGGGGGGAATGCTCGGAGAGCTCCACCAGGCTCCGGCCGTTCTCAAACGCTTGGCACAGCTTTTCCACCCGGGCTTTGGATCCGCTTATCCGATAGATTCCCTGAAAGGTGGGAGAGAGGTGAGGAGGAGGTTTGGAGAGATGGAGAAGACCCAGAGAAGAATAACTCCCCACTCACCTGCACCCCGAGGGCACGGGCTTCGATTTCCGAGGTGCATTTCACCACAACGAAGGGAACTTCCTCCGGGAAGTCTCGAGGAACCTGCGTGAAGTCGATGCCGAAAAGGGGTGCTCGGTTGGGCAGCTTCTTGTGGCCGCAGGTGATGAGGAGGTTCTCGAGGCACTTCTTGTGGCAGGTCAGGCAGCACTGGAAGGGCAGAACCTGCCTGAGTCACACTCTGGTTGTGGTCCAGCATCACAGCGATGGCTGAACACGGAGGAGGACTCCTCTTCCCTCAACCACCAACCAACGTCCCACCAACCAACGTCCCACCAACCCCAAGAGGGTTGTTGCGGGCGAGTGAGGGTCACTCAAAGAAAAATGGGCTTTGGTGTAACGCAGAGGAAGGGAAAACCACTGAATTTTGCAGAGGGGGACCCCTTGTTCCTGTAGACCTTCAGCGGGACGATGGTCACCCCAGGCTTCCACCTCTCCCAGCCCTCACCTCCTCACACTCGAAGCCGCTGACCATGAAGGTGTCGCAATCCCTGCACTTGGATGGTCCCCGCAGCTTCCTGAGCCGATGGGTCTGGGCCGCGCTGGAGAGGGGGATGCTCTTGAACTGCTGCTGGGACGAACCGTTTTCTGCAAAAACGGCACGAAAAGGTGAAAAATGAAGCCACATGTGAGCACGGCTTCCACCTTGCAACACAAAACCACGGGTGGCTCACCATTTTCAAAGGTCTGCAGGGAATCTCGCTCTTCGAAATCATCCGAGGAGGACATGGTCCCGGTGGATGGAGCCTTCAACAGCTTCCTATTCGAGTTTCCTTAGAGGGGAGAGAAAATATAAAGAGCCCTTCTCATCCTCGTGGTGCACAAAGTGGGTCAGTGTGGGCTTTATGCCCCTTTTAGGTTTTTTTTGGGTAATATCAGGCAAGAATTTTGGGGTTTTTTTGCACCTCTCACCTGGGCTAGAACTGGGAGAGTCCAGGGATCGGGATTCGCAGCTCCCACCGAGGCTTTCTGTGTCGCTGCAGAGGGATCTGTTGGCACCTGAAGAAGGAGGACACGGTGACAGATCATCCCAAACCTTCAACATGGGGATGACCAACCATCTTGAGCCCTCCTGGGGCGCTCAACTTGGGGGTCAAGTCCAACCTGAGCTCCCAAGAAAATCCATAAGTATTTTCTCCCCGTTGGAGCTGTGTCCTAAACACCACCCAAAGAAGGTGAGACCCTCTCCCACCTCTTTCCTAATAATCTAAATTAAACTACGGGGACTGGAGGGAAAATTGGGGCATCTTTATGGAATTTAACCTACTCTGGTCACCGTTGGTGGGGAGCTGCCTCCTGGCCATCTCCTCGGGCGTGCTCGCATCCCTCGCTGCGGAAGAAGCTCCGGAGAAATTCAAAGGCACCTTCTTTCTGCTGCTGGGAGGGGACCTGGAAGGGATCACAAAAAATTTTCCAACAGGGAAGAATAAGGGAAAAAAATTGCGTGACGGAGGTAGGTTATAGGGGTTGGCTCATTTTTCCAGGAGACAATAATAAAACCCCCGCACAAATCTAGGAAAACAAACTTATTCAATATAATTTTGCCTTTTCTATCCGCAGGGAAAATTTAGAGTTCAGGCAGCGCCCACAGGAGAAAAGAGGGACCTTAATCTTTGGCAAAGGACAGAAATGATGGAAGGGACGGAACTGCTGCCCTGATTTTCCAGCTGTGGGTCCTGCCCTCGGCAGGAGGCACCAAGCACGACCTTAGAGATGGGTTCTTCGTTAGCGAAGAAAAGGTCCTGGTATCTGAGGCTGTGGGCTTTTCAGTAATTAGCAATCAGAGGACCACAGGATGCTATGAGGTTGGGAGGAACCTCTGGAGATCATCTGAGGCACCTTAGAGATGGATTCTTCATTAGCAGAACCACGCAGAGAGAAAAGGTCCTGGTATCTGAGGCCCTGGGCTTTTCCATAATTAGCAATCAGGGGATCACAGGATGCTATGAGGTTGGAAGGGACCTCTGGAGATCATCTCCTCCAACCTCCACCCAGAGCAGGTCCCACAGGGTCCCATCCAGGGGGGTTGGAATGTCTCCAGAGATGGAGACCCCACCACCACGTCTCTGGGCAGCCTCTCCCAGGGCTCTGCCACCCTCAAAATGGAGAAGTTCCTCCTCATGTTGAGATGGAACTTCTCATCTCCCAGTTTGTGCCCGTTCCCTCTTGTCCTGTCACTGGGCACCACTGGAAAAAGCCTGGCCCCATCCTCCTGACACCCACCAGCCAGGAGATCCCCCCTCAGTCTTCTCTTCTCCAGACTCCAAAGCCCCAAGTCCCTCAGCCTTTCCTCAGCAGAGAAATGCTCCAGCCCCTCATCATCTTCGTAGTCCTTTGCTGGACCCTCTCCAGCAGTTCCCTGTCCTTCTGGAACTGGGGAGCCCACAACTGGTCCCAGTGCTCCAGATGGGGCCTCCCCAGGGCAGAGCAGAGCAGAGGGGGAGGATGACCTCCCTCCCTCCACCTGCTCCTCACGCTCTTCTTGATGCCATTGGCCTTCTTGGCCACCAGGGCCCATTGGTGGCTCATGGGCATCCTGTTGTCCCCCAGGAGTCCCAGGTCTTTCTCCTCAGAGCTGCTCTCCAGCAGGTCACCCCCAACCTGTCCTGGTGGTTATTCCTCCCCAGGGGCAGCAACCTCCACTTGCCCTTGGTGGAACTTCATCAGGTTCCTCTCTGCCCAACTCTCCAGCCTGTCCAGGTCTCGCTGCATGATGACCCATCCTCTGGTGTGTCACCTGCTCATTCCAGTTTGGTGTCACCAGCAAAGGTGCTGAGGGTCCACTCCATCCCTTCACCCAGGTCATTGATGAATATACTGAAGAGGACTGGACCCAGTCCTGACCCCTGGGGCCCACCACTGGTCACAGACCTCCAACTGGCCTCTGTAACCCTCTGAGCTCTGTCCTTCAGTATCAATCACGATGGTGACTTCATAACTATGTTTTAACCCTTGGGGTTTTTTTTGTTCTGGGCAATAGTTTTGGGACCTTTCAGCTCAGATGGAAGTTTTCCACATTATATATATATTTTTTAAATTTTTTTTACCTCTGCCCTCCGTAAGCGAGTGGCTCGAACTCAAACACTTCCATGTCAATGTCTTTCTTCTGCAGAGCCTGAATGAATTCCAGGTATTTCTCACCAGCTTTGTAGGGCTTGCAGACCTCGGAGAGGTGCTGGTACCCCACTGGAATCTGTTCTGACTGCGTCTGCCGCTGCTTGAACATCCGTAAAGTCACCTGATGGGGGGAAAAAAAATTGAAAAATAACATTATTGGTCAAAGCCCGGGTGCCTTTTCCTGCCCTGGATCTCAAAATTTCCAGTTTTCATCACCCAAACTCAGTGACCTCTTTTTTCTTTTTTTTTTTCCCTGCTTGTTGATATTTCTATTTCTCAAAAATATTTGTCACTGTGTCTTTTTCTAGGATTTTTCTCCCCTGGATTTATTCTGTGGCCATTTGTGTCCTCAAAGCAGGAATAATTGAAAATGTGATTTGTTTGGGATTTGATTGAAATGTGAAAATGTAATTGAAAAGTGAGAAATTTTTTTGGTAGCGGGTCGGGAAGAAAAGCAAAGTCTGGGGATGGTCCCCAAATTTCTGCTGCTGGAGAATGGTCAGTTCTAGGGTGTTTCAATGGGGAAATGGTGAAGAACCTGGAGGTGTGATCCCAAAGAGCAGCTTCCCTGAAACAAGGATTAGAGGAGAAATATCTAAGATGACACCTACCCACGTCAGCACCTCATCCCCTTGGAAAATGAGCTTCCGGACGTGGGTGACGATCCGGGCTCGTACTTTCTCCAGCTCTTGGCGTCGAAAGTTGGCATCGCTGATGCACGTCTTGTACCAAGCTTCGGCCTCCTGAAGCTGTGAGTCACCAGAAAGGGAGGAAAAAAGGATAAAATCAACCCGGGGCGGGTGGGAAGATGCATCTGGGATGACTGGGAATAAATCCCAGTAGCCTGGTGGGAGCTCATCACCTTGGCTTGTGCCTCCTCGCAGGAACGGCGCCGCTTCTCCAGCTGCTTGTTGGCGCTGCCGGGGTTGGTGGTGGCCATGTTCTGGAATTCCTCCTCGGCTTTGGCGCTCAAGTGCTTTGCCTTCTCCAGCTCCTCGCAGCGCTGGAGGTACTGGAGGCGGGACTTGCGCAGGGAGGACAAGGATTCGTTCTGGAATAGGAGAAGGAAGAGGTTTGGGAAGCCCGATGAGGCAGTGGGAGGAACGAGCCGAGGCAGTAACTCTGCTAATAAGGAAAATGCTGGTTTCTTGGTTCCAATGGACATCATGGTTCAAGTGGACATCATGGCTCCAAAGGACTTCTTGGTTCCAATGGACGTCATGGTTCCAATGGACTTCTTGGTTCCAATGGACTTCTTGGTTCCAATGGACATCATGGTTCAAGTGGACTTCTCGGTTCAAGTGGACATCATGGCTCCAAAGGACTTCTTGGTTCCAATAGACATCATGGTTCCAGTGAACTTCTCGGTTCAAGGGGACATCATGGCTCCAAAGGAGACTTCTTGGTTCCAGTGGACATCATGGTTCCAGTGGACGTCATGGTTCAAGTGGACTTCTCGGTTTAAGTGGACATCATGGCTCCAATGGACATCATGGTTCAAGTGGACTTCTCGGTTCCCATGGACATCATGGCTCCAAAGGACTTATTGGTTCCAATGGACGTCATGGTTCCAATGGACATCATGGTTCAAGTGGACTTCTCGGTTCCCATGGACATCATGGCTCCAAAGGACTTATTGGTTCCAATGGACGTCATGGTTCCAATGGACATCATGGTTCAAGTGGACATCATGGCTCCAAAGGAGACTTCTTGGTTCCAGTGGACATCATGGCTCCAACGGACGTCATGATTCCAGTGGACTTATCGGTTCAAGTGGACATCATGGCTCCAATGGACTTCTTGGTTCCAATGGACGTCATGGTTCAAATGGACATCATGGTTCCAAACGAATTCTCAGTTCCACTGGACGTCATGGTTCAAGTGGACTTCTTGGTTCAAGTGGACATCATGGCTCCAAAGGACTTGGTTCCCATGGACATCATGGCTCCAGTGGACTTCTTGGTTCAAGTGGACACCATCTTCCAGTGTCACACCCTGGTCCCATGGCTCCCCTCCCTGATCCCTGCTCCCTCCCCAGCTTTTCTGGAGCCCTTTTAGGGACTGGAAGGGGCTCCAAGGTCTCCCTGCAGCCTTCTCTTCTCCAGCCTGAACCCCCCCAACTCTCTCAGCCCCAACTCCCAGCAGAGGGGCTCCAGCCCTCCCAACATCTCCGGGGCTTCCTCTGGCCCTGCTCCAACACTTCCATGTCCTTCCTGTTACTGCTTGTTCATAGACATTTATTTCCAACGTTTTGAGCCGTGTCGGACCCCTCTCTTGGCCTCTTACCATTCTCTTCTGCTCCTTTGTCCACTGATCTTTGAATTCTTTCCTCCACTTCTCAATTTCATTCTTCTTGGCTGAGAGAGGCTGCAGAAGAATAATAATTAGGGGGGCAACAGCTCCTCATCAGGCAGGAAAAAATATCTGACACGTGAAGGTGCGACATTAGAGGGCAAAATTTCCAAAATGCCTCTTTTTCCCTTAAACTTGGTGCGTGTTCCCTTCTCCCTTCCCCTCCTCCCCCTCGGAAAAGGGTCGATGACCTCATTGGGTCTCTGTGATGCCCCCGTTGGCGTTGGGACATCCCGTACCTGGTAGAATTCCTTCTGTTGGAGCAACCCCACCGTCTCGCCCGCTGAATTCCCAACCTTGATGTCGTGTTCCAGGACCATGGTGTAGAGCGCCCGGAGGGGCATGTTGTGCTGCAGACACCCCCCCAAAAAAAGGAATCAACTATAAAATGACAGATAATCACCACGAATTTCCTAAATTTAAGGGCTTTTGACAGCTACGACCAAGATCGATGACTGGAAGGTGAGTGACTACATGGGTTAAATTCTCTATATTCCTATTTCTCTGTATTTCTATTTCTCTTTATTCCTATATATTTCTCTATATTCCTATTTCTCTGTATTTCTATTTCTCTTTATTCCTATATATTTCTCTATATTCCTATTTCCTATATTTCTATTTCTCTTTATTCCTCTATATTTCTCTATATTCCTATTCCTCTATATTTCTATTTCTCTTTATTCCTATATATTTCTCTATATTCCTATTCCTCCTCTATATTCCTTCCTCTGTATTAATTCCTCCATATTCCCTGTTCTCTATATTCCTATTTCTTCCTCTATATTCCCAGTTCTCTCTATCCCTATATATTTCTCTCTATCCCTATATATTTCTCTCTATCCCTATTTATTTCTCTCTATCCCTATTTATTTCTCTCTATCCCTATTTATTTCTCTCTATCCCTATTTATTTCTCTCTATCCCTATATATTTCTTTATATCCCTATTTATTTCTCTATACTCAAGAGCTTTTATTCTGGGCAGCACAGCCCTGACTCCTCGCTGCTCCATCCTTCAATCTCATTTCCCCAAATCATCTCTCCGTGGCATCAAACTGATAGAAGAAAAAAAAGGAACCAGCCCAATCCTGGGAGTTTTAGGCAACTTTTTGGAGCTGTATTTTCTCCAGGATTTAAGCCTGGGTGGAGAATTCCTCCCTCCTCCTCCTCCTCCTCCTCCTCGGGGAGCGGGGCCGGTACCTGCTGGGCGATGGCGTTGCGTCCCCCCTCCGCGATCTTCACCAGCCCTTTGGCAAACTCCGTCTCTGTAAGAAAAAAAGGGGTTTAGACACCAGATTCGGGCACCCGGAGGGGAATTTCTCAAAAATGGGGGTCATTCCCCTCAATGACGATCATTCACGGAAGAAAAATTCCCATTTTGTGTCTTTATCTTCAGGGAAAAGCCCCCAAAGGGTTGGTGTTTGGCCAACGTTTTGCTGCTGCACTTTTGCTTGAGACATTTTGTTCTTAGCTATGATTTTTTTTTTTTAGAAAAGCTCTCATGGACTTCTTGGTTCCAATGGACGTCATGGTTCAAATGGACATCATGGTTCCAAACGAATTCTCAGTTCCACTGGACGTCATGGTTCAAGTGGACTTCTTGGTTCAAGTGGACATCATGGCTCCAAAGGACTTGGTTCCCATGGACATCATGGCTCCAGTGGACTTCTTGGTTCAAGTGGACACCATCTTCCAGTGTCACACCCTGGTCCCATGGCTCCCCTCCCTGATCCCTGCTCCCTCCCCATCTCTCCTGGAGCCCCTTGAGGGACTGGAAGGGGCTCCAAGGTCTCCCCGCAGCCTTCTCTTCTCCAGCCTGAACCCCCCCAACTCTCTCAGCCCCAACTACCAGCAGAGGGGCTCCAGCCCTCCCAACATCTCCGGGGCTTCCTCTGGCCCTGCTCCAACACCTCCATGTCCTTCCTGTTACTGCTTGTTCATAGACATTTATTTCCAACGTTTTGAGCCGTGTCGGACCCCTCTCTTGGCCTCTTACCATTCTCTTCTGCTCCTTTGTCCACTGATCTTTGAATTCTTTCCTCCACTTCTCAATTTCATTCTTCTTGGCTGAGAGAGGCTGCAGAAGAATAATAATTAGGGGGGCAACAGCTCCTCATCAGGCAGGAAAAAATATCTGACACGTGAAGGTGCGACATTAGAGGGCAAAATTTCCAAAATGCCTCTTTTTCCCTTAAACTTGGTGCGTGTTCCCTTCTCCCTTCCCCTCCTCCCCCTCGGAAAAGGGTCGATGACCTCATTGGGTCTCTGTGATGCCCCCGTTGGCGTTGGGACATCCCGTACCTGGTAGAATTCCTTCTGTTGGAGCAACCCCACCGTCTCGCCCGCTGAATTCCCAACCTTGACGTCGTGTTCCAGGACCATGGTGTAGAGCGCCCGGAGGGGCATGTTGTGCTGCAGACACCCCCCCAAAAAAAAAGAATCAACTATAAAATGACAGATAATCACCACGAATTTCCTAAATTTAAGGGCTTTTGGCAGCTACGACCAAGATCGATGACTGGAAGGTGAGTGACTACATGGGTTAAATTCTCTATATTCCTATTTCTCTGTATTTCTATTTCTCTTTATTCCTATATATTTCTCTATATTCCTATTTCTCTGTATTTCTATTTCTCTTTATTCCTATATATTTCTCTATATTCCTATTTCCTATATTTCTATTTCTCTTTATTCCTCTATATTTCTCTATATTCCTATTCCTCTATATTTCTATTTCTCTTTATTCCTATATATTTCTCTATATTCCTATTCCTCCTCTATATTCCTTCCTCTGTATTAATTCCTCCATATTCCCTGTTCTCTATATTCCTATTTCTTCCTCTATATTCCCAGTTCTCTCTATCCCTATATATTTCTCTCTATCCCTATATATTTCTCTCTATCCCTATATATTTCTCTCTATCCCTATATATTTCTCTCTATCCCTATATATTTCTCTCTATCCCTATATATTTCTCTATACTCAAGAGCTTTTCTTCTGGGCAGCACAGCCCTGACTCCTCACCGCTCCATCCTTCCATCTCATGTCCCAAATCATCTCTCCGTGGCGTTAAACCGATAGAAAAAAGGAACCAGCCCAATCCTGGGAGTTTTAGGCAACTTTTTGGAGCCGTATTTTCTCCAGGATTTAAGCCTGGGTGGAGAATTCCTCCCTCCTCCTCCTCCTCCTCGGGGAGCGGGGCCGGTACCTGTTGGGCGATGGCGTTGCGTCCCCCCTCCGCGATCTTCACCAGCCCTTTGGCAAACTCCGTCTCTGTAAGAAAAAAAGGGGTTTAGACACCAGATTCGGGCACCCGGAGGGGAATTTCTCAAAAATGGGGGTCATTCCCCTCAATGACGATCATTCACGGAAGAAAAATTCCCATTTTGTGTCTTTATCTTCAGGGAAAAGCCCCCAAAGGGTTGGTGTTTGGCCAACGTTTTGCTGCTGCACTTTTGCTTGAGACATTTTGTTCTTAGCTATGATTTTTTTTTTTTAGAAAAGCTCTCAAAGAGTGTACGGACTCCAAAAATGGACATTTTATGCCCAGCCTCACCGTAGCTCAGACGCTTTTCGATCCAGCTGAGCAGCTCTTTGACATATTTACACCACATTTTGGCATATTCCAGGGCCGCCTCGATGCCACCTTCGCATTTATATCCCTATTTATTTCTCTATACTCAAGAGCTTTTATTCTGGGCAGCACAGCCCTGACTCCTCGCTGCTCCATCCTTCAATCTCATTTCCCCAAATCATCTCTCCGTGGCATCAAACTGATAGAAGAAAAAAAAGAAACCAGCCCAATCCTGGGAGTTTTAGGCAACTTTTTGGAGCTGTATTTTCTCCAGGATTTAAGCCTGGGTGGAGAATTCCTCCCTCCTCCTCCTCCTCCTCGGGGAGCGGGGCCGGTACCTGTTGGGCGATGGCGTTGCGTCCCCCCTCCGCGATCTTCACCAGCCCTTTGGCAAACTCCGTCTCTGTAAGAAAAAAAGGGGTTTAGACACCAGATTCGGGCACCCGGAGGGGAATTTCTCAAAAATGGGGGTCATTCCCCTCAATGACGATCATTCACGGAAGAAAAATTCCCATTTTGTGTCTTTATCTTCAGGGAAAAGCCCCCAAAGGGTTGGTGTTTGGCCAACGTTTTGCTGCTGCACTTTTGCTTGAGACATTTTGTTCTTAGCTATGATTTTTTTTTTTTAGAAAAGCTCTCAAAGAGTGTACGGACTCCAAAAATGGACATTTTATGCCCAGCCTCACCGTAGCTCAGACGCTTTTCGATCCAGCTGAGCAGCTCTTTGACGTATTTACACCACATTTTGGCATATTCCAGGGCCGCCTCGATGCCACCTTCGCATTTTATCAGCATCTCGTCTGCCTCCTGAACTGCAAGAGAATAAACCCGGGTTCGGAACCGGCCGATGGGCAGAAGTTCCCCACAAAAAGCGGCAAAACTGGGAGTCTCAAGAGTCGATGCTGCCAAATATGCTGATAACAGCCATAAAAAAAGGGTTTTTCACTCAATAACATCATTACGATCTACTTCCCGGTGACCCCACGCAGTCCTGCCCACGGAACCACACAAGTTCCAGGTAATTTAGAGACATGTATTCCTCTGCCCTCCACTTTTAATTAAATATCTTGATTTAATTTGCTTTGAAATCCAAAAATGAAAGATTTCACGGGTTACTGGGGAGTTGCAGGAAGGATTCTCGGTCCCTGGTGGAACCAAATACAATTCCTCATGTTGCAGTGAGCAAATTTAAACCCATTTCAAGCTGAAATGGGTGAGAAAGCGGCTTAGAAATATTATTTTTATCCCCCGAAATTCCCACAGTGCCTGAAGGAAGTGGAAAAAAACCACCATTAAGTTGTATTTTAAAGTCCTGGTGCCAGCAGAGACACTGGGGTTTTGTCACTGGGAGGCTGCCGGGATCGTTACCGAGTGATTAAGGCTTCTCATGGATTTTTAATTAGTGATGTTACCTGTCACATCTGCCTGCACTTGCCTCTCTGAGCTGGTTTGGCTCTTGCAGAAAGTTTCCTCCGACTGTAGAGGGAGAGAAAAAAGGGAAGGGAAGGGGGAAAGAAAGGGGGAAGGGAAGGAGGAAGGGAAAGGGGAAGGAAAGGGAAGGAAAGGGGGAAGGGAAGGCAGAAGGAAAGGGAAAGGGGGAAGGAAAGGAAATGGAAGGGAAGGAAAAGGAAAGGGAAGGGGGAAGGAAAAGGAAGGGAAGGGGGAAAGGAAGGCAGAAGGAAAGGGAAAGGGGGAAGGAAAGGAAACGGAAGGGAAGGGGAAAGGGAAGGGAAAGGGGGAAGGAAAGGAAATGGAAGGGAAGGAAAAGGAAAGGGAAGGGGGAAGGAAAAGGAAGGGAAGGGGGAAAGGAAGGCAGAAGGAAAGGGAAAGGGGGAAGGAAAGAAAATGGAAGGGAAGGGGGAAGGGAAGGGGAAAGGGAAGGGAGGGGAAAGGGAAGGGAAGGGGGAAGGAAAAGGAAGGGAAGGGGGAAAGGAAGGCAGAAGGAAAGGGAAAGGGGGAAGAAAAGGAAACGGAAGGGAAGGAAGAAGGGGAGAAAAAGGGAAGGGGAAAAGGAAGGGAAGGAGGAAGGGAAGGGGAAAAGGAAGGGAAGGAAAGGGGGAAAGGAAGGCAGAAGGAAAGGGAAAGGGGGAAGGGAAGGCGGAAGGAAAGGAAATGGAAGGGAAGGAAAAGAAAAGGGAAGGGAAGGGGGAAGGGAAGGAAAAGGGAAGGGGAAAGAGAAAGGAAGGCAGAAGGAAAAGGGAAAGGGGGAAGGGGAAAGGGAAGGGAAGGGGAAAGGAAAAGGAGGAAAAAGGTGAAAGAAAAATTAGTATTGAGAAATTTGGAGGATTTTGTAAAAGGCCGGGTTTTTTTTCTCTCACAGCGCACAAGAATAATGGCTCTCAGAGAAAAATGAAGTTCCCAGCCCCTTTGTTTATACAGAAAAGCTTGAAATGAGGCTGATTTATCCCCAAAAGTCCCGCCCTGCCCAAAGCGAGTGAAAAACGTGAAGTTCTATTTTTAAAGGGCTTTTGGTTCTCGGGGCGAAAATTTTAAAGATTTTTGGTACGTGACTCCGAAACGGATTTGGGGTTTGGGTCCTGTCTGGTCTTTTCCTTATCACGCAGAATGTAAATTGGTAATTAATCCTGTTTTACAGGAAAATATAAATCCAAACAGCAAAAGGTTGAGTGTTTCCACCAGGTCTTATCTGCTCCGTTGCCACCTCTGTCGCTGTTATGACCCAAAGTTGTGCCGTTCTTGTCCGTCTGGACAAGTAAAAGTGACTATTTTTTTTTTAAGATGAGCACCCAAAAAGCAATGTAAGTCATGTGGAATTTAATGATGTAGAATTGTGCTCTTTGGTGATGGATATTGATAATTTATCTAGTAAAATGGATCTCCTTCTTTGCCTACCGGAACCACCTCGCTTTCTGCAGCCAGGTCTGGGTCGTCGGCGTCACCAATGAAGGTATCGACTGTCCTGAATAATTAAAAATAAGGCAATTAAATCAATGGAAGCTGTGAAGACCCCCAAAAAACGAGCTCTGCCCCCTTTCTCTACGTACTCGTTTCCGATTGAGATTTCTAGGGCATCCAGGCTGCGGAATATCTCGCTGTACCTCTTCCTGGATTCAGGCGTCCTCTCTTGGTTGTGGAGACCTGGAGTTGGAGAAGAAATCGTGTCACCGATTCTGTCCCGCTCTGGGGAGATGTCCCCTGTCTCTGGGGGCATCAGAAGGACACGGAGGTGTCGGAGCGGGGCTGGAGGAGGCCCTGGAAACGCTGGAAAGGCCCCTCATCATCTTTGTAGCCCTTTGTTGGACCTTCTCCAGCAGTTCCCTGTCCTTCTGGAACTGGGTAGGCCATAACTGGTCCCAGTGCTCCAGATGGGGCCTCCCCAGAGCAGATCAGAGGGGGAGGATGACCTCCCTCCTTCCATCTGCTGCTCACACTCTTCTTGATGACCCCCGAGGATGCCATTGACCTTCTTGGCCATCGAGGCACCTTGGTGGCATCACCGGGGGCTGCGTTGCACAAGTGGTGTGGGTGTGTGTCTGTGTCTGTCGCAATGTTCTACACACAGGAACCGTTTCTCAACGTTGGAGGTCGATTTACGGGGACCATCTACACCCCACACCTCCCTCAGTCCCCGGCGGGTAGGAATTTTTGGGTGTGAAAAGTAGAAATCGGGCTCGTCCCCACCTGAGGTGGGGGGACAATTCTCTCCTGCCACCCATCTCTAAGCTCTGAGGACATCCTGCCCACAGCCCCACGTGGGTTTTTAACACGGGGTGATGGGTGCCCTTCATCTCACTTGGGGCTCAGCGACGCCTCCGTCACCAAGGGCTGAAACGAAAATTAACTTGGGCCAAAAGTTGCTGCAAAAAAGTAAAAAAAAAATAAATTTAAAATACGGAAGTGGGCACAATCGGTAAAAAAAAACCCAACAATGCAAAACCAAAAGAAAAACTTCTTCAATCTTCTTTGTCCTTTTGACATTCCAGGAAACAGGATGTGGTTGACCTAAATCTAGAGTTGCTTCACCGGGGGGTGAGTTTTTGACAGCGAGAAGCAAGTGCCTCAAATGGGGCTGGGTGGAAAAGTCAGTTTGTGTCTCCTTCACTTAGAGCCACTCTTGGGCCTCGTCTCGGTCCCCAAAAATAGAGATTTTTTTTCAAGTCAGGTGTTGATGAGGAGCTGGTTCTTCCATCAAACCTAGAGGCAGTCACTGATCCAGACTTTGGGAGCCCATAACTCCAGGAAACTCCCAGGACCTGGCTGGGGAACGGTACGATCCTGCTCATCTCCCAGCCAAAACGGGGCAGAAAACCACAAAAATGGCTTATCTGAGACTGTGAGCACGTGTGTTTGCATGTGGGGGTTTTTTTTAACTGTATAAAGATGTCAAAAAATGCAGAGAAAGCACTTGAATGTACAATTAAGGGAATTATTAGGGATTTTTTCCCCCACAAATCTCCTTGTTTGGTGGCCAACGAAAGAGCTCTCTGACAATGACAGAGTCCTGGTGTCCGAGCTGTGAAAGTCACCCCCTCCGAGCCCGTCGGCAGCTTAAAAATAGAAATAAGTGTGAAAAAGGCTGGGTGGGACACGGAAGCCACACTCCCACTCACAGTCAGCGCCGAGCAATCGTAAATAATTCAGATTTATGCTGGCCTCCTTCTTTAAAAGTTTTCTGAAGGTTTTACCCCGAAGCGGAACGAGACGCCGAAAATGCGTGAGGACACGCTTGGGTTTTTACCGTAAATCACCGAAGCCTGAAGGAGCTGCAAGAAATGGCTCAGAAGGGCCTGAAAGTCATCAGGGGAAGCCAAGGAAGGGATTTAAAAGCTCTGATGATGCCAATGGAGAGCTGCAAACTGAACCCTGCCCCACGTCGTCGTGATAAATAGTGGTGATAAATCGCCGTGTCGCACGCGGTGGGTGAGCTGAGCCAGATGGTTTCCCAACCACCTCCTCCTGGGTCTTTTTCTGGAAGAGACACGAGTCGTTGGGCATCCAAGACGCAAGGAATCCAAGACTTGGTTGAGTTGGGATCCCAGCTCCCCTGGTTCTTCAGGGCTGTCACCTCCCCTCGGTGTCCTTGTCCCCAGGGGAGGATTCTATGGCAAGAAGAAGTGACTTGATGCCACCAGCGCTGCTGGATGCACGAAACAAAACAAATATTGGAGTTTTCAAAGCAGTTTACTGTTGGGCACCGAAAGATAAAGCAAGAACCAGAGGTTCTCACAAGTCTTTTGCTTCATCTCAAGAAGAAAACATTCTGTGTAATCCCATAAAAGTAGGAAGGTGGGAAAAATGGGACCTTGAAAGTTCTCCTGGACCTGGAAAGTTCTCCTGGACCTGGATGGTTTTCCCAGCCCTGCTGGAGCTGGTGTTATTTTCTGCCCTTCTCACTCCACAGCAGCACTGTCCATTGGACATTTTCCTGTCCATTTGAAAACATTCTGTATAATCCCATAAAAGTAGGAAGGTGGGGAAAATGGGACCTGGAAAGTTCTCCTGGACCTGGAAAGTTCTCCTGGACCTGGATGGTTTTCCCAGCCCTGCTGGAGCTGGTGTTATTTTCTGCCCTTCTCACTCCACAGCAGCACTGTCCATTGGACATTTTCCTGTCCATTGGACATTTTCCTGTCCATTTGGAATCTCTCAAGTGGCTTTTTACTGGCACGTGGAGGGGTCTGGGCCGAATGGTTCATTGTGGAATTTCTCATTCATCAAGGAAATGAATTGCCTCGAATGCATCGCTCTTCATTATCACAGATGTCATCAGGCCACCACCCATTGGACACCTTCAAGATGTTCCTTCTTGATGAATCCCCATTACTTCCTAAATTCCTAAACATCTACATCCGTTTTCCTGGACTGGAAGGAAACCAGAGCCTCCCATAAATACCCATCAACTAATTAATCTTCCAACTCTACTCAAAGCCCTTTGCTTTCACCAGGGGGGGGTTGTGTAGCAGAGCCCCCACTGGGATGTAGGACGGGAGGCTTGGAGAGCCCCCAGCTCCATCCTGTGTCCATTCACTGCGACTCCCCAGCCTTAGTTACAAACGGAGCCTTCCATTTAAAACCAGTTATCTTACTGGGCTGCCCGCTGACAGCAGGACGGCTGGTCTAAAAAGTCCTCTCCCGGAGATTAAAAGGATGTTTCTTGAAGGATGGCCTGTCCTTATTCTTCTTATCTCAGATGATTCCAGCAGAAACCCCTTCCAGTGTGTCCTTATTCTTCTTATCTTAGATAATTCCAGCAGAAACCCCTTCCACCCTGTCCTTATTCTTCTATTCTTAGATAATTCCAGCAGAAACTCCTTCCATCATGTCATTATTCTTCTTATCTTGGACAATTCCAGCAGAAACTCCTTCCAGTGCATCCTTACTCTTCTTTTCTTAGATAATTCCAGCAGAAACCCCTTCTATCATGTCCTTATTCTTCTTATCTTGGACAATTCCAGCAGAAACCCCTTCTATCATGTCCTTATCCTTCTTATCTTGGACAATTCCAGCAGAAACTCCTTCCAGTGCATCCTTACTCTTCTTTTCTTAGATAATTCCAGCAGAAACCCCTTCCAGAGTATCCTTATTCTTCCTCTCGTAGACAATTTGAGCAGAAACCCCTTCCACCCTGTCCTTATTCTTCTATTCTTAGATAATTCCAGTAGAAACCCTTCCAGTGTGTCCTCACTCTTCCTTCCTTAGATAATTCCAGCAGAAACCCCTTCCACCCTGTCCTTATTCTTCTATTCTTAGATAATTCCAGTAGAAACCCTTCCAGTGTGTCCTCACTCTTCCTTCCTTAGATAATTCCAGCAGAAACCCCTTCCAGCCCCACACTAGACCCACATCCTAAAGGAGAACATCTCTGCAGGGCCAATGGTCATGCTGGAGGTGGCCAACTCTCCTCCCAAGTCCTGGATGGGCCACCCTTGGATGGACCACCCTCGGATGGACCAACCTGTGATTCCATCTCCATCCTCTACCTCCTGGAGAGCTCACTCTCTCCTCTGCTGTCGTCCCCAGGGGGGGAAAGGAGCTCTGGGAGCGGAGCAGGGAGGGTATTTTTAGGAGGAGAAACCTCTCTTTCTGCCGTTCAGCAGAAGCTCCACTTCCCTTTCAGCCGCAGTCACCGTGAAATGAGGTGAAATGTCTAAAACCCCACGGTTTTGCCCAACCTTGCCATCCCCACCCGGGTCCTGGTGGCCCCTTCCACGCGTTGCAGCACCAACAGCTGCATTTTTTTTCACCGGGGTAAAATGTCCCCTTTTCTGCCTAAAAATGACTCGTGCTTCTTCGCAGTGTTTGAGGAAAAACCCCCATTTCCCAAGCCCTGCCATGGGGCTGAATCGAATGACACCAAATAAGTCTAAAAACTCCCAATTCCTGCCTGAAATCCTCCCTTTTTAACCAAAACACCCCCCCGGCGAGACCCCGATAAAGTGAATTAACAAAAATCAGCTCGTTTTGGAGGAGGTCGGAACCGCTACCGAAGGGCACAATTGCCCCCACCCCCCACCTCAACGGGCAGGAAACACTAATAAGGTCAGACGGCTTAAACGGCAGGAGGTATTAACGAGGAGATTAATGAATCACGTTGGGGGAGGAGGGGAGAAGGAGAATTTCCACTTCATACATCGATTTATTGGGAAAATCTGCCCCTCAAACCCTCCGGCAGAAACGGAGCTGGAGTTTAGTGAGATACTCTGCAAAAAAACCCACAAGGTGATGGCCAGATTTAGGGGCAAATATTAATTAAAAGGCCTTGTTTTGAGAGATTGCAGCCCCCTCTGGCACTTAGTGACTTGATGAACCTGGCTTTTTAAGGCAGAAAAGTACAATTGTGTTAAAATTCTCACTGCTTGTCTCTTTAATATTAAAAATAAGGGACTGTTGGTGATGGTTAAGAAGAATTTAGGCTGGTGGAGGTCTAAATGCAGACACTTCAGTGCTGGAAAGGGGTAAAAGGAGCTCCCAGTTGGCAACAGAGGGATGAAACTGGGATATTTAGTGGCTAAAAAAAAAAAAGAAGACTGAAGAAAATCATTTATACCAGTTGTTTCGGTTTTGCAAAGGGGCTGTCAAGTAAAACCTCTTTTGTGGAGGAGATTTTGCTGATGGGGCTACGGAAGCCCTTGGATTTCTCAAGGGCTTTTGACTCCTACAGTCGTGTCACCTTCGGGGTGGGATTCGTGGTTTCACCGTTTTGCTGATGAACCTAAAAATAGGCCTTTAATCAACGTTACGGGGCTGTTTCTCGGGGGATGGAGGGATTCCTGCTTTTTGGTGGGTTGGTTGGATGATGAGGCTGGTACCACCATCTCTCCTGCTCTCTGGGAGGACACAAAAGGGGTCTGGAGGGGGAGAGGGGGAGGAAGAAAACTGGTCCCACCACACAGCTCCTAAACAAGCTCAGCTTATTTGGTTTATCAGGGACCCTGAGACTTCCTTTAACCCTCCCCGTGCGCGACCGCGAGCCACAGAAGCTCTGCCTTGGCCAACGGTTTTGGGCTGGTCGTGACGGAGGCACCACGAGACCCAGGTGCTGGAAGGCGACCTGGGATCCAGGACCTTCCAGCTGCAAGGACAAGGATGTGTCTGAACGTGGCACCAGGGAAAGGACTAAGGTTGCTTCCCATTTTTCCTTGATTACAGGGCTTTTTCCTTGTTTACAGGTTTTTTTATTCCTCAATTATGGGATTTTTTCCTTGATTATGGGCGTTGCTTCCCATTTTTCCTTGATTATAGGATTTTTTCCTTGTTTACAGGATTTTTTCCTTGTTTACAGGATTTTTTTTTCCTCAATTATGGGATTTTTTCCTTGATTATGGGATTTTTTGCCTTGTTTACGGGATTTTTTCCTTGACTACAGATTCTTCTCACCCCTCCGAAGCACCACGGACTGGCCCCAGATGAAGATGGGGCTCTGGGAGGAGGATTCATGCTCTCAGAGGGTCCGGAGACCTCTCAGCTCCTCGATGGGGTGAGTGTTACTCCGATTCAAAGCAATTATGTTCATAATTAAGGCTGTCACCTTTGAGGATGAGGACTCAGAGCAAATTTTTGGTCAGAGGGACTGGAGCTGATGGTGGGCGAGTCCCAGCGTTGGGCATTTCCCACCTCTGAAGAGAAAGCTCTGCACCTTCTGCCTCCCAAAATAGGGGGTTTGCACCATTTCCTCTTAGAGAAGTTAATTTCTGGCATAAATTCATCAAATAACTCCGTCTGCCAGAGAAAGACTTAGAGAACTGAGCAGTTGGGACAGGGCTCTGAGCCCGGGGCTGGTGGGAGGTGTCTCTGCCCAAGGCTGGGGGTGTGACTGGAGGGTCTTCAAGGTCCCTTCCAACCCAAACCCTTCTAGGACCTTCATGGAAACCCCCGTTGGAGGAACTTAGGGCTCTTTTCTAGCCCCCTCCCCCGTGTTTCTGAGGTGGCCGAGAGGGCTGATCGCGTCATCTTCCCCACCGTGCCCCCAGAGCTCCCAGTATAACCAGCTCCTTTCAAACGCCATCACCTACCACCAGCTTCTGGGTCTCCCATGGCCGAATCCTCCTCCTTTCCGTCCCAAAGCAGCAGAATCCCAAATGGCCCAGCTTGGAATCACAGCCGAATTAAGTAAAAAAAAAAAACCAAAAAACCCAAAAACCATCGAATTCTCTGTCAGATCAGAGGTGAAGGAAGGATCTGGAGGCCCATGGCAGCCTCTACCCGGGGTGAAGATGAACCTTCAGAAGGTCCCGGGGACGAGCGCGGCTTCTGCCGCCAGATCTGCTTCCTGCAGACACGCTTCCGTCGGAGGAACCCCTGCGCCCTGCTCGTTAGTGTGATGGGGCCATTTGCATACGACACCCATGGCCCTTGGTGGAGGGGACCATTTCGGAGCCTTCCTGCCTTCAGAGCTGGTTTTTTTCCACCTGGGGAACTCTCTCTGCATCCAAAGAGACACCCATCCTTCCAAATATCCCAAATAAAGTGCTGAGAAACGTCCAGGGGGGACAAAAAAAGGGCTTTTGGGTTGAAAGAAGGGATGGAAGAGGGGAAAGGATGAGCATCTTGGGCAGAGGTCCTTCCCTGAGATGTCGTCCCCCAGCTCTCCTCGCCGTCACCCAGCCATAAAGGGGACCCCAGCCCAGTAAAACCCACTCCAAATTCGGGGTGGGGGGCATTTGTTCCTTAAATAAACCCAAGCCCTGAATTTTGGAGAGCGAAGGGAAAACCTATCTCTTGCCTCGAAATGATTTTTGGCTTTAAATCCCAACATCCCTCCCATGGGATGGCACCCTCCGGCTCACGAGGGGTTGATTTATGGGCTGCGAGCGTGGCCGTCTTTAAAATGGGTGGATTTTGCCCCGAGTTTAGGAGAATCCTGGTGGGGATTTAATAATGAAAATGTTCTGTAGGGAAGAGAAAACGTTTTTTCCAAGGTGATAGCAGCAGAAAACCAAAGCGAACCCCTTTTCTTGGCAAATATTCAAGAAACCGACAGCAAAAATATGAAGGTTGTGTGCTCGGAGGTAAAACTGTTGATTTTTCTTCGCTAAATTTAGGAGAATCCTGGTGGGGATTTAATAATGAAAATGTTCTGTAGGGAAGAGAAAACGTTTTTTCCAAGGTGATAGCAGCAGAAAACCAAAGCGAACCCCTTTTCTTGGCAAATATTCAAGAAACCGACAGCAAAAATATGAAGGTTGTGTGCTCGGAGGTAAAACTGTTGATTTTTCTTCGCTAAATAATGAATAATTACAAACCCTTCTGTTTTCTTCTGCAACCTTGTGGCCCCTGGAGCCCCAAAACCACAGGGTTTCCCTTCCCTCGGCGTCTGCTGGAGGCTCCAGAAACGCCGCTGAATTTCTTCGTTAAGTGTGTTGACCCGACCGTGTTTGCAAAGGGCTTTAATTACAGCTAAATGCTACAAAAAGTGGTTTTTCAAGCGCAAAGCCATTCCCTTGCCAAAAGGATTGTGGGATAGGACAGCAACACCCCTCCAATTAATTCTAATTAATTTAAAAAACAAGCTAATAAGAGCTAACACAGAGCAGGAATGGGGTGGCTCCTCATTTACCAGGAGAACTCAGGATCCCAATTAAGATCTCCTGGATCTTCTCGCTGAATTAGTTTGTCCCTTTTACTTTTTGGGGGGTTTTGGGGTTTGGTTTTGGGGGTTTTTTTTTGGTAAATGTGGAGACAGTAAAACCCGAAAGCCCTGCAGCGAAACTCCTCCTCAGTCGGGACTTTCTTTGTTTAAAAATGACTATTTTCGGCCACGCAGGGGGGCGAGTGACTTGCAGAGCCTTGGGACAACCCCCCCAGGAAGTCTCATCAAACTTCCCTTGACGTCACGGCGGCCGTTTTTGAAGAAAAAGACATCATTTTGGCGCCGGCGTTTGCTGCGGGCAGAGCCCAGGGGAGAAGGAGAGAATCTTCAGGGTTGGAAGGGACCTTTGAGACCATCGAGTCCAACCAGAAAATGAGAAGCTGGGGGTTGAGGTTGGGGCACTTTCCTTCCTCCTTTGCAGGTGAGGATTTTCCACTGGGTTTAAGCAAATCTGAGCTGCCCAGAGGTTCAACGTGCAAAGCTGGGAGGAGAAACATTGAGGATCCATCCTCAAACCACCCCACCGAGGTCGGTGTGGGGTAGGACAACCCTATAAACCCCCCAGGACTGTGTCAACCAGCCGTAACCATCATTCTGTGGGTCAGGATAACTCCAACCCCACCACCACCAGGCATTGAGAAACCAAAAGGTCTTTTGCAAGGGGTTCTAGAGGAATTTGGCACCAAGAGAAGCCCCAACAAGCATCTGCTGGCCCCAAGGGGCACGGCCGAGCCACCAACAGCTCCCCAGAGCCTGGGATTTCCATTCCTTGGCTTCACCATCCAAACACAAAGTGGTTTTATTACCAGGAAAGTGAGGGAACGGCGCGGATTGCCAGCACGATGGCCAACCCCAACAAAACCATCCCATCTCTAAGCCTTTATCTTGCTTTCACACAGAATCCCAGAGTGATTTGGGGAATAAATAATCCAAGTAAACCACTAGTGACCAGGCCAAGGAGACCGACCCAATGATATTCTCTAAAAGTCGCAATAAAGCCACCTAAAATAAGTGGGGTTGGAAGGGATCTCTGGAGATCACGTCCTCCAACCCCCCCCAGCCAGAGCAAGGGCACCCAGAGCAGGTCCCATCCAGGGGGGGTTGGAATGTCTCCAGAGATGGAGGCTCCCCCACCTCTCTGGGCAACCTCTCCCAGGGCTCTGCCACCCTCAAAATGGAGAAGTTCCTCCTCATGTTGAGATGGAACTTCTCATGTCCCAGTTTGTGCCCATTCCCTCTTGTCCTGTCACTGGGCACCACTAGAAAAAGCCTGGCCCCATCCTCCTGACACCCACCAGCCATGAGATCCCCCCTCAGTCTTCTCTTCTCCAGACTCCAAAGCCCCAAGTCCCTCAGCCTTTCCTCAGCAGAGAGATGCTCCAGCCCCTCCTCATCTTCGTAGCCCTTTGCTGGACCCTCTCCACCAGTTCCCTGTCCTTCTGGAACTGGGGAGCCCAGAACTGGTCCCAGTGCTCCAGATGGGGCAGAGCAGAGAGGGAGGATGACCTCCTTTGAGGTTCTCCACACTCTTCCTGATGCCCCCCCAGGATGTCATTGGCCTCCTTGGCCACCAGGGCACGTTGGTGGCTCGTGGGCATCCTGTTGTCCCCCAGGACTCCCAGGTCTTTCTCCTCAGAGCTGCTCTCCAGCAGGTCACCCCCAACCTGTCCTGGGGCAGGGGGTTGTTCCTCCACAGGGGCAGGACCCTACACTTGCCCTTTTAAACCATCTTCCCTAATGGTGGGGTCTGGGTCTGAAAAACCCTTGGTGGATCCCCGATTTCTGCTTGGCTTCGGTACCGAGGTGTTCTCTGGACACGGGGACACTCGTTGGGTGGACAAAGGGCTATGGACTTACCGTTGGCGTTGGCGATGAGGGTGGCCACGGCAGGTTGGATGGCATCCCCGGTCAAAGCAGGGTGTGTGTTCCTGAAGGAGGAGATGGCTCGGTACCAAGGTTCTGCTCTGGCTTCGGTACCAAGGTGCTCTCTGGACACGGGGACACTCATTGGGTGGACGAAGGGCTATGGACTTACCGTTGGCGTTGGCGATGAGGGTGGCCACGGCAGGTTGGATGGCATCCCCGGTCAAAGCAGGGTGTGTGTTCCTGAAGGAGGAGATGGCTCGCAGTAACTCTGCCAGTTTGGCTTCCACAGAAGCTGAATGAACTTCTCCTAAAATGAAAAAAGGGAAAAATTAATGTTGTTGGGTTTTTTTTGCACGCGCAAAACTCTTCTCCTCTTCTCTCCCAGGAGGAGCTCGCTCCAGCGCAGCGGTAAAGGGACCCGGCTGTTCCTAAACACTCAAATTCTGCTCAAAACAGAAAATAACAAACACTGGAGACCGAATCGAGCAGAAAACCCCACTTTCAGCGATGGGATGGATGTGGAAGTCGCTCAGTTGCCAGGGCCAGGACCTTCTGTGGGGCCTCACGTGGCCTTTTGTCCAGATTCTACTCCGTGAGCCCAAGCACCGAATGTCCCCCCCTTCCTTCTGCAGGACCATCCTGTGCCGTGGTGTCTTCACATCCAAAGCTCCGAGGGAAAACTCATCATCAAAATCAAGATGAGCACTTGGAAAAACTCTCGGTGAGAGAACCGGCCGGGGTGGGTTGAATTTCCATGAGCAGCCGGCGTTGTTTTGGTGGCTTTTGAAAGCCCAACGTCTGGAAGCCAAGAGCCCCGCGGCAGTTAGGGGTTGGCTCCAGAAGCTTGGCCAACCCAACTGGTTGGGTGTGCCGGGGGGAAGGCCGTCACCGTGACCTCCAGCTACAGCTTGCGGCCGTGGGTGGGGAGAGCAGGATCAGAGGGATCTCTGGATGCCTGGGTGGGAAGGACGGCGCTTCTCCAGGAGTTTTCTTCTCCCAGCAAGTGGTGGAAGGGATTTTATTAAGGCTGTCGTGCTCCCGGAGCAGCACCGGCCCTGTCATCTCCTTGGCTTAATTCTCATTTAGGTCTAGTTATTGGGCTCCAGCCTGGAGTGTCCTGCAAGGACAGAGGCTCAGGAGAGGGGGAAAATGCCAGAGCCTCTTTCCAGGCTGTGACACACCCTTGGGATCCCACCACTGCACACTTGAGCTCCTACCAACACATCCTTGGGATCCCACCACCACACCCTTGGGATCCCACCACCCCACGCTTGGGGTCCCACCACCACACTCTTGGGATCCCACCACCCAACACTTGGGATCCCACCACCCCACCCTTGGGCTCCCACCACCCCACCCTTGGGGTCCCACCACCCCACCCTTGGGATCCCACCACCACACTCTTGGGATCTCATCACTGCATACTCTTGGGATCTCACCACCACACTCTTGGGATCTCACCACCACACACTTGGGATCCCACCACCACACTCTTGGGGTCCCACCACCACACTCTTGGGATCCCGGATCCCACCACCACACGCTTCACTACCCCACACTTGGGATCCCACCACCACACTCTTGGGGTCCCACCACCACACTCTTGGGATCTCACCACCACGCTCTTGGAATCCCACCACCCCACGCTTGGGATCCCACCACCCAATGCTAGGGATCCTACCACCACACTCTTGGGATCCCACCACCCAACACTTGGGATCCCACCACCCCATGCTTGAGATCCCACCACCACACTCTTGGGATCTCACCACCCCACACTTCGGATCTTACCACTCAACACTTGGGATCCCACCACCACACTCTTGGGATCCCACCACCACACGCTTGGGATCCCACCACCCCACGCTTGGAATCTCACCACCACACTCTTGGGATCCCACCACCCCACGCTTGGGATCTCACCACACAATGCTTGAGCTCCCACCACCCCATGCTTGGGATCCCACCACCCCCCAGAGCATCACCAGTTCCAGCCTGTCCTCCACTCGTGACATTTGGGCTCCTTCCCAGGCAGGAATCCCAGTTTTCCCAGTGGAAAGCTTTCTTCCAGCCCATTTACCTCAACTCACAAATAATTGCAGGTTCTGCCAGCGGCACTCGAGGGGTTTTTGCATCACTTTTGGAGGAAACCCATGCACTTAGATGGTTAAAGTGCTCTGAAATTTTACCTCTTGATGCAATTCATTACAGGAAACGACTTTTACATAATTAAATATCTGCCCGGTGAGAAGCTGCTCTCCCCAGAAGTGGCTGAGGGTTGCCTAAATCCACGCTTTTCAATAAATAACGCAGCGAGAACGAGGCGGGATGGCTTCTGCTGGCCACCATCTGCTCGGTTTTTTCAGCAAATAAGTGGATTGAAACCCAAATCTTTACCTTTTTGGAAGAGCTGGCGGAAATCCTGAAGTTTCCTGTCGATGTTCCTCAGGTGTGTGGTGACGAGGAGGACCTCCGAGGGATCCGGGGGGCCGGTGCCACCCCTGGAGCTCTGGATGGAAGCCGACCACGAGCCATGGGGCTGGTGGCCCGGTGGGAGACATCTCCCTGGCCACCCCCCGACGTGGTCCCCAGCTCCCAGCCCATCCATGGCGAGGTGTGGGGCTGCCCCACTGGGTCGAGCCTTTCCCTCAAGCTGTGTTTTGGGGGGCAAACCACCCCCGGGGAGCCGTCAGCCCCACTCCTCCTCATCCAGAAGAGGACACCGTGGCATTGTCCAACCACCTCCGGAGAGGAGAGACAGAAAACTGGGATAAAAACCAGAAGGTAAGGGATGAATTCTCATCCTCTCAACGTTTATTTGTTTTCTGATTCCACAGAGGTTTTTTTGGAGGTTTTCTGAGAAATGACCGGAGCTGGTTTTAACTCTGGAGTGTCTTCACATCCTTTCCCTGAGAAACCCAAATTTGGGATGTTTTTTTTCTTAGCGAGGCTCTGAGATGGAAAACAAGCCCCCAGGATGGGGGCTTCCATCCCCTCCCTTCTCCCTCCCGGGCTAAAACACGGGCAAAGTCATCCCCCCTCCTCAGAAATCTCTCGGTTTGTCCCACTTTGCTGGTGAAAATGGAAAATTGCGCCGTTCACGGTGTCCCCAGTGCCTTGGGCTCCCAAATCTTGGTGTCCTGATGTGTTGGGCTCCCAAATCCCAACTCTCGGTGCTTTGGGCTCCCAAATCCAAAATCTCAGTGCCTTGGGCTCCTGAATCCCAGTGTCCCGGTGTGTTGGGCTCCCAAATCTCAGTGTCTTGGTGTGTTGGGCTCCCAAATCTCGGTGTCTTGGTGTGTTGAGCTCCCAAATCCCAAATCTCGGTGTGTTGGGCTCCCAAATCTCAGTGTCCTGGTGTGTTGGGCTCCTAAATCTTGGTGTCCCTGGTGCGTTGGGCTCCCAAATCTCTGTGTCTCAGTGCCTTGGGCTCCCGAATCCTGAATCTCGGTGTGTCAGGGTCCCAAATCTCATTGTCCTGGTGTGTTGGGCTCCCAAATCCCAAATCTCGGTGTGTTGGGCTCCCAAATCTCAGTGTCCTGGTGTGTTGGGCTCCTAAATCTTGGTGTCCCTGGTGCGTTGGGCTCCCAAATCTCTGTATCCCGGTGTGTTGGGCTCCCAAATCCTGAATCTCAGTGTGTCAGGGTCCCAAATCTCAGTGTCCTGATGTGTTTGGCTCCCAAATCCCAAATCTTGGTGCGTTGGGCTCCCAAATCTCTGTGTCTCACTGCCTTGGGCTCCCAAATCTCGGTGTGTCAGGGTCCCAAATCTCTGTGTCCTGGTGCGTTGGGCTCTTCAATCTCAGTGTCCCCAGTGCCTTGGGCTCCTGAATCGCTAATCCCGGTGCTTTGGGCTCCCAAATCCCAAATCTCGGAGCGTTGGGCTCCCGAATCTCAGTGTCCTGGTGTGTTGGGCTCCCAAATCTTGGTGTCCTGGTGTGTTGGGCTCCCGAATCCCGGTGTCCCCGGTGCCTTGGGCTCCCAAATCCAGAATCTTGATGCGTTGGGCTCCTGAATCCTGATGCCTCAGGCTCCCAAATCTTGGTGTCCGGGTGCGTCGGGCTCCCAAATCCCGAATCTCAGTGAGTTGGGCTCCCAAATCTCAGTGTCCCAGTGTGTTGGGCTCCCGAATCTGGGTGTCTTTGGTGCGTTGGGCTCCTGAATCCCGAATCCCCGGGATCCCGAATCCTCCTCTGCTCCCTGCGTGGGAGGGGAGCAGTCTGTAACCTGGGGGAAGGTGTCAACCCGGGTGTGGATTTTCCACATTCCTCTTGGGAGTTGTGAAATGACTCACTTCCCAGCCCTATCTTTGGGATCAGACCCAGCCTCCTCACCCCGCCTCTCATTAACCCTCTGCTGCCCAAAATGGGGGAAGAAACCTCTGTGGAATCCTACATGCACGGGTGTATTTTATATTTTTTTTTTTCATATATATACTTTTTAATCTTATTTTCTATATATATTTTATACAGCGAGGCCCTGCGTAAGGAGATTGTGTAGAAAAGGCTCAAAAAGAGGTCTCTTTTCCAAGCAAAATGATTTTAGGGTTCTACAGTCCACAGGCGCTGCCTCCCCTCATCCTCTTATCTGCAGTGGGAGCTTCTCCATGGTCCTTCCTTGGAGGGACCTTCCTTGGAGGGACCTTCCGTGGAGGGACCTTCCTTCCTTCCTTGGCTTCCCACCTATTGTCGTAGAATCACTGGATGGTTTGGGTGGGAAGGGACCTTGAAGACCATCGAGTTCCACCCCCAGGCACCTCCCACCAGAGCAGGTCGCTCCAAGCCCCCTCCAACATTAGCCTTGAACACCTCCAGGGATGGGGCAGCCACAGCTTCTCCGGGCAACCTGGGCCAGGCTCTCCCCACCCTCAAAGGGAGGGATTTCTTCCTAAATCTCATCTCAATCTCCCCTCTTTGATGCTCCATCCCTGAGGACCTTCAAGGTTGGGTTGGACGGGGCTTTGAGTGACCTGGGCTGGGTGGAGACAACCCTGCTCATGGAATCATGGAAGGGTTTGGGTGGGAAGGGACCTTGAAGACCATCGAGCTCCATTCCAGACACCTCCCACCAGAGCAGGTCGCTCCAAGCCCCCTCCAACCTTGGCCTTGAACCCCTCCAGGGATGGGGCAGCCACAGCTTCTCGGGGCAACCTGGGCCAGGCTCTCACCACCCTCAGAGTCAACAATTTCTTTCTAATCTCCCTTTTTTCACCTTAAAATCCTTCCCCATCGTCCCATGACTCCCCTCCCTGATCCCTGCTCCCTCCCCATCTCTCCTGGAGCCCCTTGAGGGACTGGAAGGGGCTCCAAGGTCTCCCCGCAGCGTTCTCTTCTCCAGGCTGAACCCCCCCAACTCTCTCAGCCCCTCCTCCCAGCAGAGGGGCTCCAGCCCTCCCAGCATCTCCAGGGCCTCCTCCAGCCCCTCTCCGACACCTCCGTGTCCTTCTGGGGCTGAGGAACATCTTGTGCTTTATTAGGTATGAGAAAAGAGCAACTCCATCTCTGGACGTTGCCTAAAGCATGATGGTGATGATGATGATGATGATGATGAGACTCCATCTCTGGATGTTGCCTAAAGCATCATGAGGATGATGATGATGATGATGATGATGATGATGATGATGATGATGATGATGATGATGATGGCACAGATTCCCCTTTCTCCATCGCCCCGTCTCCCTTCTTTGGCCTGTTCTTCCCCAAAGCCCCCGAGAAAAAGGGCAACTTTGGGTTTTGAACAGAGGAAAACGGGACCGTTCAATAGAAAAAAACCCAACTGGGTGGGGCTGGGCCAAGTCAACTCTTAGTCTTATTGAACTTTAGATCGATTTGGGTGGAGAAGGTCTTTTTATTGCCATGAGATTGTACTGAAATGGAATAAAACGTCAATAAAATGCCGTCGGGTGCAATTAAGGAGAAGCCGGTCGATAACGAGGGGAAATGTTGCCCTTTGCCCCCACTCTGGTTCCCAATTTATTATAAATAACTTATATTTTTTAAAAAAACCCAACACAGCCACACTAACTGCTGGAAATCACCTGGGGCAAAGGGAATATTATTTCCTCCTCCACCTGAAAAACCTCTTTTGGGTTTAATTTAGGCTTTTTCAGGCAATGTCTGTGCTCCGAAGAGCATCCTGGAGGGAATGCCCTCCTCCCTGCCCGCCACGGGGTCCCTCCCAAACCTTTATTTTATAGGATTTTTCCTCCCTCCCCTCCTCCTTCCACCCGTCAGACTCGCTGGGCGAAGAGAGGGAGGATTTAGGAGAGAAAACGAGTCCAACGAGCCCCTTTCCCTTCCCGCATCCTCCCCGGATCCAATGAAGCTTTTCCCAATCCCTCTCCTCAGCCCCGACGAGATTTGGGACCAGAAACGAGCAAATCAATGCCCCTTTCCCCCCCCTTTTTCCCCTTTTCCCCCTTTTCCCCCTTTTCCCCCTTTTTCCCCTTTTTCCCC